GATCTTGACTTCGATGTTGTAAAGTCATTTGTCTACACCTTGAAAAAAATTATTTGATCATCTCTCTCTTCTGTAGTCTTTCAGGCCTGTCGCTGTTGCCGAGCTGGTTAGTACATTAGTTCTTACTAACATGCTAGATTTTGATTTGGCCTCTCCTAATTTTTTTTTCCTCTGAGGTTTAGTTTTGGCTTTTCAGCCTATATTTCTTTGAACCTTAAATTGAGGGTTCAGCTAGTAGATATTAAACTGAAGTTAAACACTTGGAATCAGACTCCATAGCTTTTATCTGCTTAACCTTTAATGAAATAAGAGCAGGCCTCACCTGACCTTATCAGTCAATTCTCAAATTAATTTATATTCTCTGAAAATGGGAGCCTGTGTACAAAAATGACTGCAATTCCCAAACAGTTAATGCAAAAATAGTCTGTTTAACCCATTGAATTCTAGCTGAAAGTCTGCACTTCAGTCTTTTTAAATCTGCTGTTGTGGTATATAGAGGTTAAATTAAGAAACTGTGACACTGTCCATACAGTTAAGGACCTGACTGCAAATAGTAACTTTAATGAGTTGTAAAAGAAAACCTTACCTATGGCACTGAAAGAAACAAACTTGTTTTCCCTTGGGTCGATGTTCTTGTCATAAGGTCTGTTGCCCCACATGTGTGCAACACTGTTTACAAGCCAGGTGGCATTTAGGACTGCAACGTGTCTGAGGAGCCCAGGGACAAAGCATCCCACAACCAAGGATTCACCCCAGAAGTACCAGGGAACCAGCGTGGGCACCAGAGGACAAGCACAGACACCACGTAATGTCTGAAATAAATCATCAGATAGCATCTTATACATCCATTCTTACTTGGCTACAATTTGGTTTGCAATGAACATTTTTTTGGACTAGTTTCAAAGACGCACAAACTCTGAATGGTAATTGGACAAATTCTTACATAGCGCTTTTCTACTCTCCCGGAGGACTCAAAGCACTTATACAACATGTCTCACCCATTCATTCAGCACTTTGTTTTTTACTTTTCTATGCTTAAGTGCTTTCTATGTAACATCCACATACATACTTGGGTTAGTATCTTTCCCAAGGCAGGCAGACTAGAGCAGATAGGGATCAAACCACCAACCCTCCGATTAATAGATGACCTGCTCTACCTCCTGAACTACCAGTGACTCCAAATGGAACAGAAATCAAACATAGCATGAAGAGCACCAACATCATCATTATTAGGGCAACAACTTCTTCAGTACCTCTGACCAGGTCACTGACCATCATTAGCAGAAGAGGATTTGCCCAGAACAGTGTAAATGTTTACCAGTGACCAAAAAGTTAACATTGCTAAATCAATTCAAGGCCAAACTCACTTTTCAACATTGTTTTGCAGAAATCAAGCTCAGAAACAGTAATAAAGTATGTCTGTGTAGGTTCTCAGTCATCCAAGTCTTGGTACTCTGAGGAGCTTGAAAAGAAAGCAACCAATATTGGACTACCAATAAAGTATGAGGTGCATTATTGCACGCTGTGGCTTGTTGTTGATTGAATGAGTCTTGCATAACTGTACTTTTTTTATGATCCAAATCAGTGTCTGCATTAAGGTTTGCTCACCATTTCTGGAATATAACTACTTTATCTGTCGTCAGGTCAGACAGGCTGAGTTTCTGTTTCTTTTCAGCGCAGTCAGGATGTTCTTGGACCAGGAGCCAACCAATGTGGGAGAAGAAAAATCCCCGTGAGGCATCGTGAGGGTCTGCATCTGTGCATACATATTTGTGGTGGAGGTAATGGTCCCTCACCCATTCATATATGTTCTTCTGCATACACATAGACAGGGAGAAGGCATGAAGTATACCACATCTCAGACTTTGCATTTTACTTTATGTACAAGTGTTCAAAAGAAGCATCACATCCGCAATTATGTTTTGTAACTTAATATTAA